CACATACACACAGTGACGTTACACACACAGTGACGTCACACACACACACACAGTGACGTCACACACACACAGTGACGTCACACACACACAGTGACGTCACACACACACAGTGACGTCACATACACACAGTGACGTCACATACACACAGTGACGTCACACACACAGTGACGTCACACACACAGTGACGTCACACACACAGTGACGTCACACTCACACACACTCACACACAGTGACGTCACACACTCACACAATGTGACGTCACACACACTCACACACAGTGACGTCACACACACTCACACACAGTGACGTCACACACACAGTGACGTCACACACACACAGTGACGTCACACACACACAGTGACGTCACACACACACAGTGACGTCACATACACAGTGACGTCACACACACAGTGACACACACACAGTGACGTCACACACAGTGACGTCACACACAGTGGCGTCACACACAGTGACGTCACACACACCCACAGTGACGTCACACACACACAGTGACGTCACACACAGTGACGTCACACACAGTGACGTCACACACACGCACAGTGACGTCACACGCACAGTGACGTCACACGCACAGTGACGTCACATGCACAGTGACACACACACAGTGTGACACACACACAGTGACACACACACAGTGACACACACACAGTGACACACACACAGTGACACACACAGTGACACACACACAGTGACACACACACAGTGACACACACACAGTGACACACACACAGTGACACACACACAGTGTCACACAGTGACACATACAGTGACACACACAGTGACACACAGTGACACACCTACACACAGTGACACACACAGTGACACACACACAGTGACACACACACAGTGACACACACAGTGACACACACAGTGACACACACAGTGACACACACACAGTGACACACACACACAGTGACACACACACAGTGACACACACACAGTGACACACAGTGACACACACACAGTGACACACACACACAGTGACACACACAGTGACACCCACACACACAGTGACACACACAGTGACACACACACTGACACACACACAGTGACACACACAGTGACACACACAGTGACACACACACAGTGACACACACAGTGACACACACAGTGACACACACAGTGACACACACACACAGTGACACACACACAGTGACACACACACAGTGACACACACAGTGACACACAGTGACACACACACAGTGACACACACACACAGTGACACACACAGTGACACACACAGTGACACACACAGTGACACACACAGTGACACACACACTGACACACACAGTGACACACACACTGACACACACACAGTGACACACACAGTGACACACACAGTGACACACACACAGTGACACACACACAGTGACACACACAGTGACACACACAGTGACACACACACACAGTGACACACACAGTGACACACACAGTGACACACACACACAGTGACACACACACAGTGACACACACAGTGACACACACACACAGTGACACACACAGTGACACACACACAGTGACACACACACAGTGACATAAAGAGACACACAGAGATACAGAGGGAGACACAAAGAGAGACAGAGACACACGGGGAGAGACTGTCTATCTCCATGAGTCTCTATGTATGTTTATGAGTCTCTATGAGTCTCTATGTATGTCTATGAGTCTCTATGTGTGTCTATGTGTCTTTATGTGTGTCTATAAGTCTCTGTGTATGTTTATGAGTCTCTGTGTGAGTCTATGAGTCTCTGTGTGTCTCTATGAGTCTCTGTGTGTGTCTGTGAGTCTCTGTGTGTGTCTGAGTCTCTGTGTGTGTCTGTGAGTCTCTGTGTGTGTCTGTGAGTCTCTGTGTGTGTCTGTGGGTCTCTGTGTGTGTCTGTGAATCTCTGTGTGTGTCTATGAGTGTCTGTGTGTGTCTGTGAGTCTCTGTGTGTGTCTGTGAGTCTCTGTGTGTGTCTGTGAGTCTCTGTGTGTGTCTGTGTGTGTGTCTCTGTGTCTCTGTGTGTGTCTGTGAGTCTATGTGTGTGTCTGTGTGTCTCTGTGTGTGTCTGTGAGTCTCTGTGTGTGTCTGTGAGTCTCTGTGTGTGTCTGTGAGTCTCTGTGTGTGTCTGTGAGTCTCTGTGAGTCTCTCTGTGTCTCTGTGAGTCTCTGTGTGTCTCTGTGTGTGTCTGTGTGTCTCTGTGTGTGTCTGTGAGTCTCTGTGTGTGTCTGTGAGTCTCTGTGTGTGTCTGTGAGTCTCTGTGTGTGTCTGTGTGTCTCTGTGTGTCTCTGTGAGTCTCTGAGTCTCTGTGTGTGTCTGTGAGTCTGTGTGTGTCTGTGAGTCTCTGTGTGTGTCTATGAGTCTCTTTTTGTGTCTACGAGTCTCTGTGTGTGTCTGTGTGTGTCTGTGAGTCTCTGTGTGTGTCTGTGAGTCTCTGTGAGTCTCTGTGTGTGTCTGTGAGTCTCTGTGTGTGTCTGTGTGTCTCTCTGTGTCTCTGTGTGTGTCTGTGAGTCTCTGTGTGTGTCTGTGAGTCTCTGTGTGTGTCTGTGAGTCTCTGTGTGTGTCTGTGTGTCTCTGTGTGTCTCTGTGAGTCTCTGAGTCTCTGTGTGTGTCTGTGAGTCTGTGTGTGTCTGTGAGTCTCTGTGTGTGTCTATGAGTCTCTTTTTGTGTCTACGAGTCTCTGTGTGTGTCTGTGTGTGTCTGTGAGTCTCTGTGTGTGTCTGTGAGTCTCTGTGTGTGTCTGTGAGTCTCTGTGTGTGTCTGTGTGTGTCTGTGAGTCTCTGTGTGTGTCTGTGAGTCTCTGTGTGTGTCTGTGAGTCTCTGTGTGTGTCTGTGTGTGTCTGTGTGTCTCTCTGTGTCTCTGTGTGTGTCTGTGAGTCTCTGTGTGTGTCTGTGTGTCTCTGTGTTTGTCTGTGAGTCTCTGTGTGTGTGTGTGTGTCTGTGTGTGTCTGTGTCTCTGTGTGTGTCACTGTGTGTCTCTGTGTGTCTGTGTGTGTCTGAGTCTCTGTGTGTGTCTGTGTGTCTCTGTGTGTCTCTGTGTGTGTCTGTGTGTGTCTGTGTGTGTCTGTGTGTCTCTGTGTGTGTCTGTGTGTGTCTGTGTGTCTCTGTGTGTGTCTGTGTGTGTCTGTGAGTCTCTGTGTGTCTGTGAGTCTCTGTGTGTGTCTGTGAGTCTCTGTGTGTGTCTGTGAGTCTCTGTGTGTGTCTGTGTGTCTCTGTGTGTGTCTGTGTGTCTCTGTGTGTCTCTGTGAGTCTCTGTGAGTCTCTGTGTGTGTCTGTGTGTCTCTGTGTGTCTCTGTGTGTGTCTGTGAGTCTCTCTGTGTGTGTTTGTGTGTCTCTCTGTGTGTCTGTGTGTGTGTGTGTCTCTGTGTGTGTCTGTGTGTGTCTGTGTGTGTCTGTGAGCCTCTGTGTGTGTCTGTGTGTCTCTGTGTGTGTCTGTGTGTCTCTGTGTGTGTCTGTGTGTGTCTGTGTGTCTCTGTGTGTGTCTGTGTCTCTGAGTCTCTGTGTGTCTCTGTGTGTGTCTGTGAATCTCTGTGTGTGTCTGTGAGTCTCTGTGTGTGTCTGTTTGTGTCTCTGTGTCTCTGTGTGTGTCTGTGTGTGTGTCTGTGTGTCTGTGTGTGTCTGTGTGTCTGTGTGTGTCTGTGTGTGTCTGTGTCTCTGTGTGTATCTGTGTGTGTCTGTGAGTCTCTGTGTGTCTGTGTGTCTCTGTGTGTCTCTGTGTGTCTCTGTGTGTGTCTGTGTGTGTCTCTGTGTGTGTCTGTGAGTCTCTGTGTGTGTCTGTGAGTCTTTGTTAGTCTCTGTGTGTGTCTGTGAGTCTATGTGTGTGTCTGTGAGTCTCTGTGTGTGTCTATGAGTCTCTGTGTGTGTCTGTGAGTCTCTGTGTGTGTCTGTGTGTGTCTGTATGTCTCTGTGTGTCTGTGTGTCTCTGTGTGTCTCTGTGAGTCTCTGTGTGTCTGTGTGTGTCTGTGTGTCTCTGTGTGTGTCTGTGAGTCTCTGTGTGTGTCTGTGTGTGTCTGTGTGTCTCTGTGTGTGTCTGTGTGTCTCTGTGTGTGTCTGTGTGTCTCTGTGTGTGTCTGTGTTTCTCTGTGTGTGTCTGTGAGTCTCTGTGTCTCTGTGTGTCTCTGTGTGTGTCTGTGTGTGTCTCTGTGTGTGTCTGTGAGTCTCTGTGTGTGTCTGTGAGTCTCTGTTAGTCTCTGTGTGTGTCTGTGAGTCTCTGTGTGTGTCTGTGAGTCTCTGTGTGTGTCTATGAGTCTCTGTGTGTGTCTGTGAGTCTCTGGGTGTGTCTGTGTGTGTCTGTGTGTGTCTGTGTGTCTCTGTGTGTGTCTGTGTGTCTCTGTGAGTCTCTGTGTGTCTGTGTGTGTCTGTGTGTGTCTGTGTGTCTCTGTGAGTCTCTGTGAGTCTCTGTGTGTGTCTGTGTGTGTCTGTGTGTCTCTGTGTGTGTCTGTGTGTGTCTCTGTGTGTGTCTGTGTGTGTCTGTGTGTGTCTGTGAGTCTCTGTGAGTCTCTGTTTGTCTGTGTGTGTCTGTGAGTCTCTGTGTGTCTGTGTGTGTCTGTGTGTGTCTGTGAGTCTCTGTGTGTCTCTGTGTGTGTCTGTGTGTGTCTGTGTGTGTCTGTGAGTCTCTGTGAGTCTCTGTGTGTCTCTGTGTGTCTGTGAGTGTGTGTCTGTGTGTCTCTGTGTGTGTCTGTGTGTGTCTGTGTGTCTGTGAGTCTCTGTGTGTGTCTGTGAGTCTCTGTGTGTGTCTGTGTGTCTCTGTGTGTCTCTGTCTGTGTGTCTCTGTGTGTGTCTGTGTGTCTCTGTGTGTGTCTGTGTGTGTCTCTGTGTGTGTCTGTGTGTGTCTGTGTGTGTCTGTGTGTGTCTGTGAGTCTCTGTGAGTCTCTGTTTGTCTGTGTGTGTCTGTGAGTCTCTGTGTGTCTGTGTGTGTCTGTGTGTGTCTGTGAGTCTCTGTGAGTCTCTGTGTGTCTCTGTGTGTGTCTGTGTGTGTCTGTGTGTGTCTGTGAGTCTCTGTGAGTCTCTGTGTGTCTCTGTGTGTCTGTGAGTGTGTGTCTGTGTGTCTCTGTGTGTGTCTGTGTGTGTCTGTGTGTCTGTGAGTCTCTGTGTGTGTCTGTGTGTCTCTGTGTGTCTCTGTCTGTGTGTCTCTGTGTGTGTCTGTGTGTCTCTGTGTGTGTCTGTGTGTCTGCGTGTGTCTCTGTGTGTCTCTGTGTGTCTCTGTATGTCTCTGTGTGTCTGTGTGTGTCTGTGTGTCTATGTGTGTGTCTATGAGTCTCTGTGTGTGTCTGTGTGTCTGTGTGTGTCTGTGTGTGTCTGTGAGTCTCTGTGTGTGTCTGTGAGTGTCTGTGTGTCTCTGTGTGTGTCTGTGTGTCTCTGTGTGTGTCTGTGTGTGTCTCTGTGTGTGTCTGTGTGTGTCTGTGTGTCTCTGTGTGTGTCTGTGTGTGTCTCTGTGTGTGTCACTGTGTTTGTCTGTGTGTGTCTGTGTGTCTCTGTGTGTGTCTGTGTGTGTCTCTGTGTGTGTCACTGTGTGTGTCACTGTGTGTGTCTGTGTGTGTCTGTATGTCTCTGTGTGTGTCTGTGTCTCTGTGTGTGTCACTGTGTGTCTCTGTGTGTGTCTGTGTGTCTCTCTGTGTGTGTCTGTGTGTCTGTGTCTCTATGTGTGTGTCTGTGTGTCTGTGTGTGTGTCTGTGTGTCTCTGTGTGTGTGTGTCTGTGTTGTATGTGTGTCTGTGTGTGTGTCTGTGTGTCTCTGTGTGTGTCTGTGTGTCTCTGTGTGTGTCCGTGTGTCTCTGTGTGTGTCTGTGTGTCTCTGTGTGTGTGTGTGTCTGTGTTGTATGTGTGTCTGTGTGTGTGTCTGTGTGTCTCTGTGTGTGTCTGTGTGTCTCTGTGTGTGTCTGTGTGTCTGTGTGTCTCTGTGTGTGTCTGTGTGTCTCTGTGTGTGTCTGTGTGTCTGTGTGTCTCTGTGTGTGTCTGTGTCTCTGTGTGTGTCTGTGTGTCTCTGTGTGTGTCTGTGTGTCTCTGTGTGTGTCTGTGTGTCTCTGTGTGTGTGTGTGTCTGTGTTGTATGTGTGTCTGTGTGTGTGTCTGTGTGTCTCTGTGTGTGTCTGTGTGTCTCTGTGTGTGTCTGTGTGTCTCTGTGTGTGTCTGTGTGTCTCTGTGTGTGTCTGTGTGTCTGTGTGTCTCTGTGTGTCTCTGTGTGTGTCTGTGTCTCTGTGTGTGTCTCTGTGTCTCACCTCGGCAGTGTCGTGACCTTCTAGAGTCATGCAGATGTCCAGGTCACTCTCCTGGAAGCCGAACCCATTACGGGATGAGCCAAAGAGACAGAGACGTGCACGTCCTGAGACACGGGGAGAGAGACACGGGGAGAGAGACACGGGGAGAGAGAGAGACACGGGGAGAGAGAGAGACACGGGGAGAGAGAGAGACACGGGGAGAGAGAGAGACACGGGGAGAGAGAGAGACACGGGGAGAGAGAGAGAGACCCGGAGAGAGAGACACGGAGAGAGAGAGACACGGGGAGAGAGACACGGGGAGAGAGAGAGACACGGGGAGAGAGAGAGACACGGGGAGAGAGAGAGAGACACGGAGAGAGAGAGACACGGGGAGAGAGACACGGGGAGAGAGAGAGACACGGGGAGAGAGAGAGACACGGGGAGAGAGAGAGACACGGGGAGAGAGAGAGACACGGGGAGAGAGAGAGACACGGGGAGAGAGAGAGACACGGGGAGAGAGAGAGACACGGGGAGAGAGAGAGAGACCCGGAGAGAGAGACACGGAGAGAGAGAGACACGGAGAGAGAGAGACACGGGGAGAGAGACACGGGGAGAGAGAGAGACACGGGGAGAGAGAGAGACACGGGGAGAGAGAGAGAGACACGGAGAGAGAGAGACACGGGGAGAGAGACACGGGGAGAGAGAGAGACACGGGGAGAGAGAGAGACACGGGGAGAGAGAGAGACACGGGGAGAGAGAGAGACACGGGGAGAGAGAGAGACACGGGGAGAGAGAGAGACACGGGGAGAGAGAGAGACACGGGGAGAGAGAGAGAGACACGGAGAGAGAGAGACACGGGGAGAGAGAGAGAGAGACACGGGGAGAGAGAGAGACACGGGGAGAGAGAGACACGGGGAGAGAGAGAGACACAGGGACAGAGAGACACGGGGAGAGAGAGAGAGAGACACGGGGAGAGAGAGACACGGGGAGAGAGAGACACGGGGGAGAGAGAGAGACACGGGGAGAGAGAGACACGGGGAGAGAGAGACACGGGGAGAGAGACACGGGGAGAGAGAGACATGGGGTGAGAGAGACACGGGGAGAGAGACACGGGGAGAGAGACACGGGGAGAGAGACACGGGGGGAGAGAGAGACAGTAAGAGTGTCTATCTAAGTGAGTGAGTGTGTCTAAGTGAGAGTGTCTCACTGTGTGTCTAAATGAGTGTGTCTAAGTAAGAGTGTCTATCAAGATGTGAGAGTGTCTCACTGTGTGAGTGTCTATCTAAGTGAGTGTCTAAGTGTGAGAGTGTCTAAGTGTGAGAGTGTCTAAGTGAGAGTGTGTCTCACTGTGTGAGTGTCTATCTAAGTAAGAGTGTCTAAGTGAGTGTGTCTAAGTGTGAGTGTCTAAGTAAAAGTGTCAAAGTAAGAGTGTCAAAGTAAGAGTGTCTAAGTAAGAGTGTCTCACTGTGTCTAAGTAAGAGTGTCTAAGTAAGAGTGTCTAAGTAAGAGTGTCTCACTGTGTCTAAGTAAGAGTGTCTAAGTAAGAGTGTCTAAGTAAGAGTGTCTAAGTAAGAGTGTCTAAGTAAGAGTGTCTCACTGTGTCTAAGTAAGAGTGTCTAAGTAAGAGTGTCTCACTGTGTCTAAGTAAGAGTGTCTAAGTAAGAGTGTCTAAGCAAGAGTGTCTCACTGTGTCTAAGTAAGAGTGTCTAAGTAAGAGTGTCTCACTGTGTCTAAGTGAGAGTGTCTAAGTGAGTGAGTGTCTAAGTAAGAGTGTCTCACTGTCGTATTCCCTGCGGACAAATCTCTCGATGCCAGCCAGGATGGCTGCACGGCCTTCGTCCTCCTGTACAGACGGAGTGAAGTCACCTGCAGCGTCAACAACAACAACAACATCAACAACATCAACAACATCAACAACAACATCATCAACAACATCATCAACATCAACAACAACATCAACATCAACAACAACATCATCAACAACAACAACATTAACATCAACAACAACATCAACATCAACAACAACATCAACAACATCAATAATAATAACATCAACAACATCATCAACAACAACATCAACAACAACAACAATAATAATAACATCAACAACATCATCAACAACAATAATAATAACATCAACAACATCATCAACAACAACATCAACAACATCAATAATAATAATAACATCATCACAATAATAATAATAACATCAACAACAACATCAATAATAACATCATCACAATAATAATAATAACATCAACAACAATAATAACATCAACAACAACAATAATAATAACATCAACAACATCAACAACAACAATAATAATAACATCAACAACATCAATAATAATAACATCAACAACAACATCAATAATAATATCATCACAATAATAATAATAACATCATCAACATCAATAATAATAACATCAACAACATCAATAATAATAACATCAACAACATCAACATCATCAACAACATCAACAACATCATCATCAACAACAACATCAACAACAACATCACAACAACAACACCACATCATCAACAACACAACAACAACAACATCAACACAACAACACCAACATCATCATCAACATCATCAACAACATCAACAACATCATCAACAACAACATCAACAACAACATCAACAACAACAACATCAACAACAACAACATCAACAACAACAACAACATCAACAACAACAACATCAACAACATCACAACAACATCAACAACATCACAACAACAACACCACATCATCAACAACACAACAACATCAACACCACAACAACACCAACAACACCACAACAATAACATCACCACATCATCACAACATCATCACAACAACATCATCACCACAATCACCATAAGTGAGTGTCTAAGTGAGTGTCTAAGTGAGTGTCTAAGTGTCTAAGTGAGTGTCTGAGTGAGTGTCTAAGTGAGTGTCTAAGTGAGTGTCTGAGTGAGTGTCTAAATGAGTGTCTAAGTGAGTGTCTAAGTGAGTGTCTAAGTGTCTAAGTGAGTGTAAGTGAGTGTCTAAGTGAGTGTCTAAGTGTTTAAGTGAGTGTCTGAGTGAGTGTCTAAGTGAGTGTCTGAGTGAGTGTCTAAGTGAGTGTCTAAGTGAGTGTCTAAGTGTCTAAGTGAGTGTCTGAGTGAGTGTCTAAGTGAGTGTCTAAGTGTCTAAGTGAGTGTCTAAGTGAGTGAGTGTCTAAGTGAGTGAGTGTCTAAGTGTCTAAGTGAGTGTCTAAGTGAGTGTCTAAGTGAGTGTCTAAGTGAGTGTCTAAGTGAGTGAGTGTCGAAGTGAGTGAGTGTCTAAGTGAGTGAGTGAGTGTCTAAGTGAGTGTCTAAGTGTCTAAGTGAGTGAGTGTCTAAGTGAGTGTCTAAGTGAGTGTCTAAGTGAGTGAGTGTCTAAGTGAGTGTCTAAGTGAGTGTCTAAGTGAGTGAGTGTCTAAGTGTCTAAGTGAGTGTCTAAGTGAGTGAGTGTCGAAGTGAGTGAGTGTCCAAGTGAGTGAGTGAGTGTCTAAGTGAGTGTCTAAGTGTCTAAGTGAGTGAGTGTCTAAGTGAGTGAGTGTCTAAGTGAGTGTCTAAGTGAGTATCTAAATGAGTGTCTAAGTAAGTGAGTGTCTAAGTGTCTAAGTGAGTGTCTAAGTGAGTGTCTAAGTGAGTGTATACGTGAGTGTCTAAGTAAGTGAGTGTCTAAGTGTCTAAGTGAGTGTCTAAGTGAGTGTCTAAGTAAGTGAGTGTCTAAGTGAGTGTCTAAGTGTCTAAGTGAGTGTCCAAGTGAGTGTCTAAGTGAGTGTCTAAGTGAGTGTCTAAGTGTCTAAGTGAGTGTCTGAGTGAGTGTCTAAGTGAGTGTCTGAGTGTCTAAGTGAGTGTCTAAGTGAGTGTCTAAGTAAGTGAGTGTCTAAGTGAGTGTCTAAGTGTCTAAGTGAGTGTCTAAGTGAGTGTCTAAGTAAGTGAGTGTCTAAGTGTCTAAGTGAGTGTCTAAGTGAGTGTCTAAGTGAGTGTCTAAGTGAGTGTCTACGTGAGTGTCTAAGTAAGTGAGTGTCTAAGTGTCTAAGTGAGTGTCTAAGTGAGTGTCTAAGTGTCTAAGTGAGTGTCTAAGTGAGTGAGTGTCGAAGTGAGTGAGTGTCTAAGTGAGTGTCTAAGTGAGTGAGTGTCTAAGTGAGTGTCTAAGTGAGTGAGTGTCTAAGTGAGTGTCTAAGTGAGTGTCTGAGTGAGTGTCTAAGTGAGTGAGTGTCTAAGTGAGTGTCTAAGCGAGTGTCTAAGTGAGTGTCTAAGTGAGTGTCTAAGTAAGTGAGTGTCTGAGTGAGTGTCTGAGTGTCTAAATGAGTGTCTAAGTGTCTAAGTGAGTGTCTAAGTGTCTAAGTGAGTGTCTAAGTGAGTGTCTAAGTGAGTGAGTGTCTAAGTAAGTGTCTAAGTGAGTGAGTGTCTAAGTGAGTGTCTAAGTGTCTAAGTCAGTGTCTAAGTGAGTGTCTAAGTGTCTAAGTGAGTGTCTAAGTGAGTGTCTAAGTGAGTGTCTAAGTAAGTGAGTGTCTAAGTGAGTGTCTAAGTGAGTGTCTAAGTGTCTAAGTGAGTGTCTAAGTGAGTGAGTGTCTAAGTGAGTGTCTAAGTGAGTGTCTAAGTGAGTGTCTGAGTGAGTGTCTAAGTGTCTAAATGAGTGTCTAAGTGAGTTAGTGTCTAAGTGAGTGTCTAAGTGAGTGTCTAAGTGTCTAAGTGAGTGTCTAAGTGAGTGTCTAAGTGAGTGTCTAAGTGTCTAAGTGAGTGTCTAAGTGAGTGTCTAAGTGAGTGTCTAAGTGTCTAAGTGAGTGTCTAAGTGAGTGTCTAAGTGAGTGTCTAAGTGAGTGTCTAAGTGAGTGTCTAAGTGTCTAAGTGAGTGTCTAAGTGAGTGTCTAAGTGTCTAAGTGAGTGTCTAAGTGAGTGTCTAAGTGAGTGTCTAAGTGTCTAAGTGAGTGTCTAAGTGAGTGAGTGTCTGAGTGAGTGTCTAAGTGAGTGTCTGAGTGTCTAAGTGAGTGTCTAAGTGAGTGAGTGTCTAAGTGAGTGTCTAAGTGAGTGAGTGTCTAAGTGAGTGTCCAAGTGTCTAAGTGAGTGTCTAAGTGAGTGTCTAAGTGTCTAAGTGAGTGTCTAAGTGAGTGAGTGTCTGAGTGAGTGTCTAAGTGAGTGTCTGAGTGTCTAAGTGAGTGTCTAAGTGAGTGTCTAAGTGAGTGTCTAAGTGAGTGTCTAAGTGTCTAAGTGAGTGTCTAAGTGAGTGTCTAAGTGAGTGTCTGAGTGTCTAAGTGAGTGTCGAAGTGTCTAAGTGAGTGTCTAAGTGAGTGTCTAAGTGAGTGTCTAAGTGAGTGTCTAAGTGAGTGTCTAAGTGAGTGTCTAAGTGTCTAAGTGAGTGTCTGAGTGAGTGTCTAAGTGTCTAAGTGAGTGTCTAAGTGAGTGAGTGTCTAAGTGAGTGTCTAAGTGAGTGTCTAAGTGAGTGAGTGTCTAAGTGAGTGTCTAAGTGAGTGTCTAAGTGTCTAAGTGAGTGTCTAAGTGAGTGTCTAAGTGAGTGTCTAAGTGAGTGTCTAAGTGAGTGTCTAAGTGAGTGTCTAACGGAAGCAGCGGACACAGGCCGTGTCCAGGGCTTTGCGGAAGTCGGCGGTGAGTGGAGGGAGAGCGGTGAGGGGAGCTGAGTGAGTGTCTAAGTGAGTGTCTAAGTGTCTAAGTGAGTGTCTAAGTGAGTGTCTAAGTGAGTGTCTAAGTGAGTGTCTAAGTGAGTGTCTAAGTGTCTAAGTGAGTGTCTAAGTGAGTGTCTAAGTGTCTAAGTGAGTGTCTAAGTGAGTGTCTAAGTGTCTAAGTGAGTGTCTAAGTGAGTGTCTAAGTGAGTGTCTAAGTGAGTGTCTAAGTGAGTGTCTAAGTGTCTAAGTGAGTGTCTAAGTGAGTGTCTAAGTGTCTAAGTGAGTGTCTAAGTGAGTGTCTAAGTGAGTGTCTAAGTGAGTGTCTAAGTGTCTAAGTGAGTGTCTAAGTGAGTGTCTAAGTGAGTGTCTAAGTGTCTAAGTGAGTGTCTAAGTGAGTGTCTAAGTGTCTAAGTGAGTGTCTAAGTGAGTGTCTAAGTGAGTGTCTAAGTGAGTGTCTAAGTGTCTAAGTGAGTGTCTAAGTGAGTGTCTAAGTGAGTGTCTAACGGAAGCAGCGGACACAGGCCGTGTCCAGGGCTTTGCGGAAGTCGGGGGTGAGTGGAGGGAGAGCGGTGAGGGGAGCTGAGTGAGTGTCTAAGTGAGTGTCTAAGTGTCTAAGTGAGTGTCTAAGTGAGTGTCTAAGTGAGTGTCTAAGTGAGTGTCTAAGTGAGTGTCTAAGTGTCTAAGTGAGTGTCTAAGTGAGTGTCTAAGTGTCTAAGTGAGTGTCTAAGTGAGTGTCTAAGTGTCTAAGTGAGTGTCTAAGTGAGTGTCTAAGTGAGTGTCTAAGTGAGTGTCTAAGTGTCTAAGTGAGTGTCTAAGTGAGTGTCTAAGTGTCTAAGTGAGTGTCTAAGTGAGTGTCTAAGTGAGTGTCTAAGTGAGTGTCTAAGTGAGTGTCTAAGTGAGTGTCTAAGTGAGTGTCTAACGGAAGCAGCGGACACAGGCCGTGTCCAGGGCTTTGCGGAAGTCGGGGGTGAGTGGAGGGAGAGCGGTGAGGGGAGCTGAGTGAGTGTCTAAGTGAGTGTCTAAGTGTCTAAGTGAGTGTCTAAGTGAGTGTCTAAGTGAGTGTCTAAGTGAGTGTCTAAGTGAGTGTCTAAGTGTCTAAGTGAGTGTCTAAGTGAGTGTCTAAGTGTCTAAGTGAGTGTCTAAGTGAGTGTCTAAGTGTCTAAGTGAGTGTCTAAGTGAGTGTCTAAGTGAGTGTCTAAGTGAGTGTCTAAGTGAGTGTCTAAGTGTCTAAGTGAGTGTCTAAGTGAGTGTCTAAGTGTCTAAGTGAGTGTCTAAGTGAGTGTCTAAGTGAGTGTCTAAGTGAGTGTCTAAGTGTCTAAGTGAGTGTCTAAGTGAGTGTCTAAGTGAGTGTCTAAGTGTCTAAGTGAGTGTCTAAGTGAGTGTCTAAGTGTCTAAGTGAGTGTCTAAGTGAGTGTCTAAGTGAGTGTCTAAGTGTCTAAGTGAGTGTCTAAGTGAGTGTCTAAGTGAGTGTCTAACGGAAGCAGCGGACACAGGCCGTGTCCAGGGCTTTGCGGAAGTCGGGGGTGAGTGGAGGGAGAGCGGTGAGGGGAGCTGAGTGAGTGTCTAAGTGAGTGTCTAAGTGAGTGTCTAAGTGTCTAAGTGAGTGTCTAAGTGAGTGTCTAAGTGAGTGTCTAAGTGAGTGTCTAAGTGTCTAAGTGAGTGTCTAAGTGAGTGTCTAAGTGTCTAAGTGAGTGTCTAAGTGAGTGTCTAAGTGTCTAAGTGAGTGTCTAAGTGAGTGTCTAAGTGAGTGTCTAAGTGAGTGTCTAAGTGAGTGTCTAAGTGTCTAAGTGAGTGTCTAAGTGAGTGTCTAAGTGTCTAAGTGAGTGTCTAAGTGAGTGTCTAAGTGAGTGTCTAAGTGAGTGTCTAAGTGTCTAAGTGAGTGTCTAAGTGAGTGTCTAAGTGAGTGTCTAACGGAAGCAGCGGACACAGGCCGTGTCCAGGGCTTTGCGGAAGTCGGGGTGAGTGGAGGGAGAGCGGTGAGGGGAGCTGAGTGAGTGTCTAAGTGAGTGTCTAAGTGTCTAAGTGAGTGTCTAAGTGAGTGTCTAAGTGAGTGTCTAAGTGAGTGTCTAAGTGTCTAAGTGAGTGTCTAAGTGAGTGTCTAAGTGTCTAAGTGAGTGTCTAAGTGAGTGTCTAAGTGAGTGTCTAAGTGAGTGTCTAAGTGTCTAAGTGAGTGTCTAAGTGAGTGTCTAAGTGAGTGTCTAAGTGAGTGTCTAAGTGAGTGTCTAAGTGTCTAAGTGAGTGTCTAAGTGAGTGTCTAAGTGAGTGTCTAAGTGAGTGTCTAAGTGTCTAAGTGAGTGTCTAAGTGAGTGTCTAAGTGAGTGTCTAAGTGAGTGTCTAAGTGTCTAAGTGAGTGTCTAAGTGAGTGTCTAAGTGAGTGTCTAAGTGTCTAAGTGAGTGTCTAAGTGAGTGTCTAAGTGAGTGTCTAAGTGTCTAAGTGAGTGTCTAAGTGAGTGTCTAAGTGAGTGTCTAAGTGAGTGTCTAAGTGAGTGTCTAACGGAAGCAGCGGACACAGGCCGTGTCCAGGGCTTTGCGGAAGTCGGCGGTGAGTGGAGGGAGAGCGGTGAGGGGAGCTGAGTGAGTGTCTAAGTGAGTGTCTAAGTGTCTAAGTGAGTGTCTAAGTGTCTAAGTGAGTGTCTAAGTGTCTAAGTGAGTGTCTATGTGAGTGTCTAAGTGTCTAAGTGAGTGTCTAAGTGAGTGTCTAAGTGTCTAAGTGAGTGTCTAAGTGTCTAAGTGAGTGTCTAAGTGAGTGTCTAAGTGAGTGTCTAAGTGAGTGTCTAAGTGAGTCTCTAAGTGAGTGTCTAAGTGTCTAAGTGAGTGTCTAAGTGAGTGTCTAAGTGAGTGTCTAAGTGAGTGTCTAAGTGTCTAAGTGAGTGTCTAAGTGAGTGTCTAAGTGAGTGTCTAAGTGAGTGTCTAAGTGTCTAAGTGAGTGTCTAAGTGAGTGTCTAAGTGAGTGTCTAAGTGAGTGTCTAAGTGTCTAAGTGAGTGTCTAAGTGAGTGTCTAAGTGAGTGTCTAAGTGAGTGTCTAAGTGAGTGTCTAAGTGTCTAAGTGAGTGTCTAAGTGAGTGTCTAAGTGTCTAAGTGAGTGTCTAAGTGAGTGTCTAAGTGAGTGTCTAAGTAAGTGTCTAAGTGAGTGTCTAAGTGAGTGTCTAAGTGAGTGTCTAAGTGAGTGTCTAAGTGTCTAAGTGAGTGTCTAAGTGTCTAAGTGAGTGTCTAAGTGAGTGTCTAAGTGAGTGTCTAAGTGAGTGTCTAAGTGTCTAAGTGAGTGTCTAAGTGTCTAAGTGAGTGTCTAAGTGAGTGTCTAAGTGAGTGTCTAAGTGTCTAAGTGTCTAAGTGAGTGTCTAAGTGTCTAAGTGAGTGTCTAAGTGAGTGTCTAAGTGAGTGTCTAAGTGAGTGTCTAAGTGAGTGTCTAAGTGTCTAAGTGAGTGTCTAAGTGAGTGTCTAAGTGAGTGTCTAAGTGAGTGTCTAAGTGTCTAAGTGAGTGTCTAAGTGAGTGTCTAAGTGAGTGTCTAAGTGAGTGTCTAAGTGTCTAAGTGAGTGTCTAAGTGTCTAAGTGAGTGTCTAAGTGAGTGTCTAAGTGAGTGTCTAAGTGAGTGTCTAAGTGAGTGTCTAACGGAAGCAGCGGACACAGGCCGTGTCCAGGGCTTTGCGGAAGTCGGGGGTGAGTGGAGGGAGAGCGGTGAGGGGAGCTGAGTGAGTGTCTAAGTGAGTGTCTAAGTGTCTAAGTGAGTGTCTAAGTGTCTAAGTGAGTGTCTAAGTGAGTGTCTAAGTGTCTAAGTGAGTGTCTAAGTGAGTGTCTAAGTGTCTAAGTGAGTGTCTAAGTGAGTGAGTGTCTAAGTGAGTGTCTAAGTGAGTGTCTAAGTGAGTGTCTAAGTGAGTGTCTAAGTGAGTGTCTGAGTGAGTGTCTAAGTGTCTAAATGAGTGTCTAAGTGAGTTAGTGTCTAAGTGAGTGTCTAAGTGAGTGTCTAAGTGAGTGTCTAAGTGTCTAAGTGAGTGTCTAAGTGAGTGTCTAAGTGAGTGTCTAAGTGTCTAAGTGAGTGTCTAAGTGAGTGTCTAAGTGTCTAAGTGAGTGTCTAAGTGAGTGTCTAAGTGAGTGTCTAAGTGAGTGTCTAAGTGTCTAAGTGAGTGTCTAAGTGAGTGTCTAAGTGTCTAAGTGAGTGTCTAAGTGAGTGTCTAAGTGAGTGTCTAAGTGTCTAAGTGAGTGTCTAAGTGAGTGAGTGTCTGAGTGAGTGTCTAAGTGAGTGTCTGAGTGTCTAAGTGAGTGTCTAAGTGAGTGAGTGTCTAAGTGAGTGAGTGTCTAAGTGAGTGTCTAAGTGAGTGAGTGTCTAAGTGAGTGTCCAAGTGTCTAAGTGAGTGTCTAAGTGAGTGTCTAAGTGTCTAAGTGAGTGTCTAAGTGAGTGAGTGTCTGAGTGAGTGTCTAAGTGAGTGTCTGAGTGTCTAAGTGAGTGTCTAAGTGAGTGTCTAAGTGAGTGTCTAAGTGTCTAAGTGAGTGTCTAAGTGAGTGTCTAAGTGTCTAAGTGAGTGTCTAAGTGAGTGTCTAAGTGAGTGTCTGAGTGTCTAAGTGAGTGTCGAAGTGTCTAAGTGAGTGTCTAAGTGAGTGTCTAAGTGAGTGTCTAAGTGAGTGTCTAAGTGAGTGTCTAAGTGAGTGTCTAAGTGAGTGTCTAAGTGAGTGTCTAAGTGTCTAAGTGAGTGTCTAAGTGAGTGTCTAAGTGAGTGAGTGTCTAAGTGAGTGTCTAAGTGAGTGTCTAAGTGTCTAAGTAAGTGAGTGTCTAAGTGAGTGTCTAAGTGAGTGTCTAAGTGAGTGTCTAAGTGAGTGTCTAAGTGAGTGTCTAAGTGAGTGTCTAACGGAAGCAGCGGACACAGGCCGTGTCCAGGGCTTTGCGGAAGTCGGCGGTGAGTGGAGGGAGAGCGGTGAGGGGAGCTGAGTGAGTGTCTAAGTGAGTGTCTAAGTGTCTAAGTGAGTGTCTAAGTGAGTGTCTAAGTGAGTGTCTAAGTGAGTGTCTAAGTGAGTGTCTAAGTGTCTAAGTGAGTGTCTAAGTGAGTGTCTAAGTGTCTAAGTGAGTGTCTAAGTGTCTAAGTGAGTGTCTAAGTGAGTGTCTAAGTGAGTGTCTAAGTGAGTGAGTGTCTAAGTGAGTGTCTAAGTGAGTGTCTAAGTGAGTGTCTAAGTGTCTAAGTGAGTGTCTAAGTGTCTAAGTGAGTGTCTAAGTGAGTGTCTAAGTGAGTGTCTAAGTGTCTAAGTGAGTGTCTAAGTGAGTGTCTAAGTGAGTGTCTGAGTGAGTGTCTAAGTGTCTAAATGAGTGTCTAAGTGAGTTAGTGTCTAAGTGAGTGTCTAAGTGAGTGTCTAAGTGAGTGTCTAAGTGTCTAAGTGAGTGTCTAAGTGAGTGTCTAAGTGAGTGTCTAAGTGTCTAAGTGAGTGTCTAAGTGAGTGTCTAAGTGTCTAAGTGAGTGTCTAAGTGAGTGTCTAAGTGAGTGTCTAAGTGAGTGTCTAAGTGTCTAAGTGAGTGTCTAAGTGAGTGTCTAAGTGTCTAAGTGAGTGTCTAAGTGAGTGTCTAAGTGAGTGTCTAAGTGTCTAAGTGAGTGTCTAAGTGAGTGAGTGTCTGAGTGAGTGTCTAAGTGAGTGTCTGAGTGTCTAAGTGAGTGTCTAAGTGAGTGAGTGTCTAAGTGAG